CCCCCTGTACGAGACTAGTAAAACCCTCATACATATTTGCTTGCATTTCTGAAGCTATCATGAGCCTGCTGTTTGGTATCATAATTCCTTCACAGTTAATGTGGTGTGAAGATGAAATTACTAGTGACTTCAGAGACCCTGAGGAAGAACCACCTGTTACTTACAACAAAAAGACGTAACAGGTCAATCAAGGATACTTGCAAACTGGCTTCTTCATTTTTTTGCAATCAGTGTTTCATATGTCAGACAATATTTAATCCTGTTTTTCAAGGTTTTTTGTAGTTCTTGGTTGTTTTGCGTCTGAGGTCATCCTTGTATCTAGTTATTGAGATCTGGGAGTACAGCACATGAAACATTTTCAATGAACTACGTAAAGCTGTGGTGACAGCACCTGACCGTCAAACAAACAAAAATCAGCTCATTCGTAAGACTGGGTTGCTCACTCCTGCTCACCAATAATTTTCATGGTTTTCTCAACTTCGTGTGAAATGGTGTATCTATTTGTTATCGGAGTGTCGATCAAATCTCCACAAATGAACAAACAATAACAAGAATTGTGAAGGAAGTTAAAGGATTGAATCCGACCTTTGATGCTGCTGATATACGTGGTAAGTGTAAGGGCTACTGTACATTTTTGGCTTTACCAAGTTCATAAGGTACATACTTGCTCTACTGCAGAGGCTGCATATCGCTTTTTAAAACAGTCTGAAGAGGATTCTCTTAAAAGAAATGGAATGGCAGAAAGAAAAAAAGTTACTACAAGACGACAGGAACGTGTTACCAGGGTTAGCTTTGCTTTTATGTTGAGTGTTGTGTATATTTGTTCAACCCTCACTGTGCATCCACGGTCTACTTGTGTGTCTGTCTGTTACCGCCTAACTGCTGCATTCATGTGCTTAAGAAAAGTTACTGTGGTACTGAGCTTTGGGCAACTTATTCAGTATAGTACACTAAAGCACGATGCTGCTTGGCCGATTCCAGTAGATTCGCACACAAAAATTGTAACATGTGTGCGTATTTACATTTGTGACTGCACTGAAGGTGGTGTTTTTTTGGTATTACAGAAAAAGAGGGAGAGAGAAGGAGCTGTCCTAAAAAATTCTTCATTTACTGAAGAACAACGCAAAAAGTGGCTTGGTGTAATGAAGCGAGACTATATGTCATCAGAGGAGAGTGGGGATGATGACTTTATTGTTCTTCACTCACTTCCATGGCACAGTGATTATGTTAGCTACTAAGATGTTTTCAAATAGAACAAAAGCTAATAGACACTAGAGCCATGAACCTTATCCAAAGTAGAGTTAACGAGACGATAACACCGCATTATGTTGGTAAAATTCCTCTAAAAATGGTGTCATCCTTTTCGGGCTTTACAGCTGATCAATTCAAGAACTGGACAAACCTTTCTTCAATCATAGATGTTCTTCCTACTGAACACATGAAATGCTGGTGTTATTTTGTGCAGGCATCTAGAATTCTATGCCAAATGTCTCTTACACGTGAGCAGATATTATTAGCTGATGCATTTCTTCTGCAATTTTGCAAAAGTTTGCATGGAAACAAGACTATTACTCCTAATATGCATCTTCACTGCCACTTAAAGCAATCTTTGTTTGACTATGGACCAATACATAACTTCTGGTTATTTTCGTATGAGCGCTACAATGGTATTTTGGAGTTTCCCATCCAATAACCGCTCCTTAGAAATTCACTTCATGCATACAACAGTGTTCATTTCTCTAGCTCTAGTGTATGTCTTAATCCTTTTCATGTAACAGATTGGACACTAAGTTCTCTTTTGAATGAATTGGCTTTCCTGAAGAGTTATTATCGCTCTGTTCTTTCGGATGAGCAGCTCTCCCAACTTAAACGTATATATTCTGCTTTCTACCCTTATTTGTCACAGGAAAATACTTTCTTCAAAAGCACTTGCAATAAGTTTTCCAGTATTGTGTAGGATGCGCTACAAAGAGCAATCAATAATATTCTACTGTAAACTGCTTCCTGTTTGGTAGTACTTCAAGAGCAATTGATTTAAACCCACGACCAGCTTTAATCAAACACTTCGTTGTTCATTCTTGTCATATCAATAATGCTGTAAAAATGCACGCTTTTGCTGTTGTTTCGTGGCTTAAGGAACACCACTCAAGATCAATGTTTGTTAAACCTTTTGAAATATGGTGGAAAGATCTGTATGACATAAACTTAGACTTAGGAGGATATTATAACAATCCAATTGTTAATATGTCATGCAGTTCACTGTGACTTTCAATATGAAGAATATTTAATGTGCCCTGTTCACAATATCATTTCTGTATTATTATCGAGCACATAACAAGTGTTACTGTTTGTATCAGTCATGTATGTGGAGAACCTGTAACAGTATTTTCTGCACTGTAATCAGACATTTTCTGCTTTCTGAAATGAATCTGGTAGTCCAACTTTCCTTCTGCAATATGGCATTTAAGCGTGCATGAAATCTGCAGAAACCCACCCGACTGTTAGTATAGTATGAGTGCAGTATAATCAGACATTTTCTGCTTCCTGAAATGAATCTGGTTGTCCAGCTTTCCTTCTAGTGTGGACACGAACACTGCAATATGGCATTTAAACGTGCATGAAATCTGCAGGAAACTCCACCCGACTGTTAGTATAGTACGAGTGCAGTATAATCAGACATTTTCTGCTTTCTGAAATGAATCTGGTTGTCCAGCTTTCCTTCTAGTGCGGACACGTACACTGCAATATGGCATTTAAGCGTGCATGAAATCTGCAGGAAACTCCACCCGACTGTTAGTATAGTACGAGTGCAGTATAATCAGACATTTTCTGCTTTCTGAAATGAATCTGGTTGTCCAGCTTTCCTTCTAGTGCGGACACGTACACTGCAATGTGGCATTTAAGCGTGCATGAAATCTGCAGGAAACTCCACCCGACTGTTAGTATAGTACGAGTGCAGTATATTCAGACATTTTCTGCTTCCTGAAATGAATCTGGTTGTCCAGCTTTCTTTCTAGTGCGGACACGTACACTGCAATGTGGCATTTAAACGTGCATGAAATCTGCAGGAAACTCCACCCGACTGTTAGTATAGTACGAGTGCAGTATATTCAGACATTTTCTGCTTCCTGAAATGAATCTGGTTGTCCGGCTTTCAATCTAATGCGGACACGTACACTGCAATGTGGCATTTAAACGTGCATGAAATCTGCAGGAAACTCCACCCGACTGTTAGTATAGTACGAGTGCAGTACAATCAGACATTTTCTGCTTTCCGAAATGAATCTGGTTGTCCAGCTTTCCTTCTATAGAGGAAATGCATATGATATACGGCATTACCAACCTTTGAAACATGGTGTGTATTTTCGAAATGTGAGTGTTTACCTCCCCTGTAGATTTCCTTTATGCGAATTGGAAAGGAAATTACAGTTTTTTTGCAGTGCATCCTGTGTGTTTTTTGTGTTACATATCAACCAAACTGTAATTGCTGTTGCCATTTGTACCATGGGGAATTGACTGACCTGCTCGTCTCTCCCTTTCACTCCTCGTCCTCTCCCCCCCCCTCTCTCTCTCTCTCTCTGGTTCCATTGAGCAGGAGAGTTTGGGGGGGTGGAACCTACATTTTTTGGAGACCTTTAAGCCTGATGATGTAACTCCACCCAGTGGGCACACACCCCTCCTTCATTGGGGTGCTCCAGTTGTGTGTGTTCAAGGCCTAGGGTTGGCCGACTGAATTTTTAAAATCAATTACCATTTGAAACAGTAAGTGTATTGGGTTTGTCGGCACACTGAGGGTGTAGGGTAGCTTATCCTAGACCATATGTGTACAACATGTTGACAACTTCCATTCAATGTGTTCACTATCTCTCTTCTCTGTCCTCTCCCCTCTCTTCTCTCTCTTTCCCATGCTTACCAAGAAGGAAAAGCTACCCTCCTAATTTGCGTCTGAGCAAACTGACATACAATTACCCATCGGAAGCACAAGTCCTCTGTATTGGGTATATATATACAATGACATCATGTGTATTGTGGAGAATCTTTGTGTAGTATGTAGTATTGATATTAGCCTCTCTGCCTACTGGCCATACGGTACCTCTTCCCTCCCTCTCTCGCTCCTCGCCTTCCCTCCTTCTCTCTCTGGGACGTGTTAGGGTGAGCTAGGGCTAGGGCTAGCTGTAGAGGTGTACAATCTCTGAGACGTGTTTGGGTGAGCTGTCAGGCATGCAGGGTTGACCCAGTCTTGATCTCCAGTCTTCCTAAAAATCTCATTACCTTGGAATTGTTAGTGTATATAGCTGTTGGGATGTGAAACTGCTGGTGCACGCTGTACTTCTAATAAGTGCTCACCCAGCCAGTAGCACAATAATTATAAGGCCTCTGATAATTACCTTTCTGTGTTTGTTGATGTGATGTTTCATATACACTCTGCAGGTTCCCTCATTTCTAGAGATGCTTCTACTCATTCGACAAAACTCTCCACACCTTACTATCTCTGTGATGATGTGGTTCGAGAAGGTTCGAGGAGGTTCGATGTGCTTGAACCACCCCGAACTAGTGCATAAGGACAAAACTCTCCACCCGAACCCATGTCACAAATTTGATCCAGTCATTAACCCTTGGCGCGCATGTGCAGCGAGGGTTACTTTAGTTGGTTTGCCTGCTGTGTGTATGTCTCTCTGTCTGTCCACGCTTATTCTGGCACTACAGGTTACGAGGCGGCCTATGAGCGATACCAACGACTGCAGAACAACGCGAACCAGAAAAATAAAAGAGCGATTTTGCTGAAGCAACTGCGTTCGAGAGCGAGAAACTTTCACGGTTGCGGACCACGTTGCGTGGCCCAACCCATCAATTAGCGGTGGGAATGAGGGGGGTGTGGGGGGTTGTGGGGGGGGTGGGGGGGTGGGGGGGGGTGGTGGGGTGGGGGGGGGGGTGTGGGGGGTTGTGGGGGGTGGGGTGGGGGGGTGTTGGTGTTGTGGGGGGTGGGGTGGGGTTGGGTGGGGGTGGTGTGTGGGGGTGGGGGTGTTTGGGTGTGTGGGGGTGGTGGTGTTGTGGTGGGGGGGGTGTGGGTGTGGGGGGGTTTGGGGGGGGTGGGGGGGGGGTGTGGGGGTGTTGGGGGTGTGTTTGGGTGGGGGGGTGTTGTGGGTGGTTGGTGGTGGGGGGGTTGGGGTGGGGTGGGTTGTTTGGGGGTTGTTGTGGTGTTGTTTTGTGTGTTTTTTTTTGTTTTTTTTTTTTTATTAGTTTATGCTTATTATTACTTCCAGGAGTGTCACAAATATTCCTGCGATGGGCCTCCATCAAAAGGAAGTAAATTG